CACACACACACACACACACACACACACACACACACACACACACACACACACACACACACACTTTGGATTGCTCGTGACAGCATGATGTGTGTCCACGCACTTCCCAGGAGAAAGGCACTCGCTTCCACTAATGCTAATAATCAATCAGGCTCAGAGAGAGCAGCGGAACACGGGGGGGAGGGGCAGGGAGGGAGGGTTTGGACAAAAGGAAAGCGGAGCGAGAAACCATAAAATGAAATGTTAATGGTAGCATCAGCTATATTCCCACGAGGAGGACTGTTTCTAGATCTGCGTAATTGTAAGCCGTCTGTGTTCAATGGCTCCACGCAGATCAGCGCTTTGATTGACAAGTTTTAAATTACTTTGTGACAAACAGTTGTGTGCCTGTGGCCAGCCTGGTTTGATGAGTATTGACTGTTTCAGTGCAAAAAAAAAAAGTCAAAACCTTCATTAGTTCTTTAAAAAAAAAAACGCCCAAAGACAAATTCAGCTTCATTTAATAAAACACGCTCGTGACAGCTCCCTCATTCGCTCTTCCCAGGTGGCTGTATTGGACCGACTGGGAGGAGGACCCGAAGGAGAGCAAGCGAGGCAAAATTGAGCGGGCCTGGATGGACGGCTCCAACAGGAACGTCTTCCTGAGCAGCAAAACAGTGCTGTGGCCAAACGGACTCAGCCTGGACATCCCACAGGGCATCCTCTACTGGGTGGATGCCTACTACGACCGCATCGAGATGGTCTACCTCAACAGCTCCGGGCGTAAGGTCAGCCCTGTCAATCATGACAATTATGTTTGCAGAACTCAGATGGTTCGATTTCTAACTCTCTGTCAAATGTAAAAATTTCCACACATTCCTTCCACGTCACTTAAAATGCTGTTTTTGTACCATTTGTTTAAAAAAGCAGATTTTTTTTCTGCTGCCTACACACTCATTTAGTTGAAATGGGTGGACTGACTGAAGGGGTGGATGCTGGCCAAAATACGTGATGGATTTGTAACAAACTGTTCTCAAATATGTTGTGGAGRGAAATAAAAGGAGGTCATTCTTGCTTTTCTTTTTTTTGAATTATGAGCATGCTTTGCGGCAAACTTCTGGAAAAAAAGAGAGAAAAAACCCACAATAAACAGTTTGCGTTCTCTTGTAAAAATAAATGTGCTCTTTTGGCTGCTTTTCTGACATCACCAGACGGTGTACGAAGGTCAGGAGCTGAACCACGCCTTCGGCTTGTGCCACTATAAACACTTCTTGTTCTGGAACGAGTACCGCAGCGGCAGCATTCATAAGCTGGACACCACCACCGGCACCGCCACCCTGCTGCGCAACGAGCGCCCGCCCATCTTTGAAATCCGGATGTACGACGCTCAGCAGCAGCAAGGTTCGGGGGGACGCGACGTCGTGCCAAAAAACGTCCACCTGTGATTCAGACGCTGAGAGTTTGTTAAACCTCATGGGTTCTCTTCTGTCTTTAATTTTCAGGCTCCAATGCGTGTCGCGTGTCCAACGGCGGCTGCAGCAGTCTGTGTCTGGCCATACCAGGAGGTCGGCAGTGTGCCTGTGCAGAAGACCAGGTATTAGACCCCACCGACAACACCAGCTGCAAAGGTAAAAACATGAAAGATCAATTTTTTTCCACTGTCAATGCCACCCCCCCCCCCCAAAAAAAAAAAAATGAAGTTGATGATTATCATTATTGTACTTAATTTAGTACAAAAATAGATTTTAAACCAATCGTAAATTTAATTTATTGTTCGCTGCAACAAAAACAAATTTACAATGTAAAAGATAATATTTGTCGTTCTACATGTTGTATTGTTATCGGGCAAGCCCCCCGTGAAAGCCCCCCTTGTTGGCTTTGCGTAGCTTCTACTCCCTGTGCCATTTAGTTGAATATCCCTGATTTACATCCTTCCTGACCCTCCTAACTCCTCGCCTTCTCCTTCCCAGTCAACCCGTCTTACGTCCCGCCTCCTCAGTGCCAGCCAGGAGAGTTTGCTTGTAAGAACAGCCGCTGCATCCAGGAGCGCTGGAAGTGCGATGGAGACAACGACTGTCTGGACAACAGCGACGAGGCTCCGGAGCTGTGCCGTGAGTTACCGAGCGTCACCACACTCCAAACGTTCTGTTCATACGAGGGATGCACCAATCCATGTTATTAACTTCGGATCGGTGCATCTCTGGTTGATGCCAGCTCAGACGATGGGCAGATGTGGGAATGTGACGGCCTGGAGTCGGATCAAAGACTTTCTCCCAGCACAATCTTTAGCTGCGTCTTTGTGCAAGAAAGAATGCAGCAGCGTCTGTAAATTTGGAATAGCTCTCGTTCTGTTCGTCTGTGGTCAAAGTGCAGACAGGTTTTTTTTTTTGCTTCCAGACTAAACAAACCTCAGTCCAAAACAGCCCCCTGATTTTTTTCCTTTCCTTTTTTAACCTTACAGCTCTCCTCTCTTTCCAATCCCCTCATCTCTAAAAATAACTTCCCGTTTTCTTTTCTGCTCCTGAAAATCTTTGCTTTTTTTCCATCGCATCCTGTTCTCTCTGCAGACCAGCACACCTGCCCCACCGACAGGTTTAAGTGCAAGAACAACCGCTGCATCCCGCTGCGTTGGCTGTGCGACGGCGACAACGACTGTGGGAATGACGAGGACGAGTCCAATGCCACCTGCTCAGGTATGCAGACACACTCCCCCACCACAAAAACACACACACCACCACCACCACCACCACAAGTTTCTGCTCATTGCCTTTTGCGGTTCACAAATTTTCTCTCGTATTTTAGCACGTACCTGCCCGACCAATCAGTTCTCGTGCGCTAGCGGGCGCTGCATCCCCGTCTCCTGGATGTGTGACCTGGACGATGACTGTGGCGATCGGTCTGATGAACCTGTGTCCTGTGGTGGGTTGGCTTACTCTCCAGTTATACACCGTTATATAACTTATAAATGTATAATCTGCAATATGTCTGCCATGTCCACAGCCTACCCCACCTGTTTCCCCCTCACGCAGTTTACCTGCAACAATGGACGCTGCATCAACATTAACTGGCGCTGTGATAACGGTTAGTCCCGGCTCTTTGCGTCTTTGTTCACCTCCTTCTGTTTGTTTGTTTGTTGTTTTTTTTTGTCAGAGTTTACCGTGCATGCCGGACCACCACGCTTTTACTGTATTTGCTTTTGTCATCTCGTGCATTTGTTTGTTTGCGCATCTGTTTTGTTGTCCTGTGTTGTGCTCTTTGCCCACTGTGCTGTCTTCCGTTGGTTCTGTCTTTCAGAAAAGGATTGTGAGGACGGCTCTGATGAGTTGAATTGTCCAAAAGCGACCGGTTAGTGCATAGATCAACATGCACCACAACAGCCGTGATGCTAGCCAGAGCTTTAGAACTCACCAGAGAGAGTCAGGGCTGCTTTTCTAACCCGACTGACCTCCAAGAGGTCGAAACTGCTGTCCTTTCACACAAACCTGATTGGTGAAACAATCAAATTTGTGTGCATAAATATAACTTATTTCACTTTATCAACTATTATTTATTACTATTAACAGATATTGCTACAGGAATGTTTACTTTTCTCCCAGACAGTTTTAAAAAAATAGAGTAAAATGTGCTAAAAGTTACATTTGGCTGTTTTTTTAAAGAGAATATTTGTACAGAAATGCCAAAGACGCTACGCTGAAAGCTCAATGTATCCGTGCTGGGTACATTTCCTCATGGTGCATGTTCTGATCTATGCAGTTTCTGTCATCATTTAAACTCTCATTTTTCATATTTTATCTCATATGTTTACACTGTCGTGTTAAATGATGTGTTCACTGTAAAGAAATAAATAAATTCCTGCATCTTTCTGCACATTTGCATAAATATTTGCTTTGTTTTCAGACGTGTGAGAGCGAGTTTCGCATTGCTGCGTTTGTTTTGCAGATAACGACTGCGGGGACAACAGCGATGAAGCGGGCTGCAGCCACTCCTGCTCCAGCACTCAGTTTAAATGCAACAGCGGTCGCTGCATCCCCGATTACTGGAGATGTGACGGAGACAACGACTGCGGGGACTACAGCGACGAGACCCATGCAAACTGCACCAATCAGAGTCAGTGTCTTTTACTGCTTTAGCTGTGTGTGTGTGTGTGTGTGTGTGTGTGTGTGTGTGTGTGGGGGGGGGGGGTCCACACATTTATCACACAAAATAACTTCATCTCCTGTGCTGATTTAATTTTCTACATTTCAATAAAATAAAAAAAGAAAAGTGGAGTTATATAGGAAAAAAAGACAACCATTACGTCTTTGCAATTATCTTTTTCAGTTCTCAGGCTTTGAAGTGAGCTACAAAGGCTGCTTTTGTTCACGCTGCAAACCTGCACAAGAATGAGCCGCTTTCTAATTAGAACTGTTCATCTATGAAATGTCTATGGTATCATTTTTACAGAGCATTCAACCAAAAGCAGATGTGTCTTAATAATAGCTACCTTTAGCAGAAGGATCTGTCGTGATGCACAAAATCTTCAATCACAAAGCTGTGAATTAAACCCAGAGGAAATAAAATGAACTCGTCGCGGCCGAATGATGTTCATTTATCTTTTTCAGTTTCATATTTTTGGAAAAAGATGTGAAGCAAAACAGTTTTATTCTACAGTCGAACTCTGTAAAATAATGACGTTTTTTTAAAAAGAAAACTACAGTAGAAAGCAAATACCAAATTTATAACTATTTGTTTTTCCTGCCTAAATTTAAATGTGAGAATAATTTAACAGTTAAAAAAGAGAAACACTTAATGTTTTGTTTCACTTTGCTGCAACGAGTTGGCAAACATCACTCACAAGGGAGTCTCCAGAATGTGGCTCAGTCTGCGGGGGTTCTTCCTTTCCTTGCTTGAGTGGAGCTCTCCTCCGACAGAAAAGATTAGAGGCAAGAACCCTGAACGCTGTGGTCTAAAACACACCGATACTAAATAATAATTCATTTAAAAAATGGTCCAAATCTGTCTTTGTTTCAAAAGTGTGCTCGAGTGGATCAAATCTTATTTAAATGTCGGAGCAGCTGGACAATGAAATAATGTGCACAACCTAGAATACAGTTTTGGCCCACTTGGGTGAAAACACTCAGAATCCAGTAAGGTTGCAACAGAAGATTCATGTATTTTCTCAGAAGACTGTGTCAAGTTTGAGTAGCCAGTTTCCAGCCGTCACTGCTCAGTGAGACACGCCCCCAAAGAGCTGCTGCAGCCGACTGTTAGGAAACAACAACATAAAGCTGAAACACGGGAAATGATTGCAAACCTTGGGTAAGAAAGTGGGAAAATATGGTTGTTTTTCCCAATTAGCTGTTCCTGGAATCTGGATCGCTTGTGACCAAAATAGGAATGTTTAGAAGAAAACAAGGAAGACATCTGGGACTTTTATTATTTTTCAAAACCCAGCGTCAGAATAAACACCCTCCAGAAACGGATGAGTTGTTGCATCAGTTTCTACCACTCTTGACTTCATGAATGTATTAGGTTTAACTTGGTTTTACCCTTTAAAAACAAGACACCAAATTGTTCAGTTTGACTAAAGGAGAAATAAGGTTTTGAAGTTTGTCAAACATTAAAGTCGATCATCAAACCGCCAGCAAACAGCCGTGATCTTTTTGCACATTTGTGTTTTGTATAAAAACAGCAGCCGGGGTGGGCCGAGTCTTTTGTTGGATGGAAAAACGAGTCTGTTCCCCTGAAGGCAGGATGAATCATCAACATTTTAATAGTTTCTTCAGAAAACACCATTAAGATTTCCCCGCAAAACAAATTTTCTCTCAGTTCTGCTCCGACTACAGGTCTGTTTGTGACGCATAGAGCTCATAAAGACCTTTATTTAAAAAAAGGGACCTGAATATGAGATTTGACTTGCTAGTCTGTGTCGGTGTGACAGTGTTTAGAAAACACAGCTGTGACAGATGGTTGTTATTATCACGACTGAGTGGTTGCACCTCGCCACTGCTTTTATTCAGATGTGACTCAACACTTAAATCAGAACAAGTGTTTGCATTTTTTCAGTTTATTTACAATCCAATAAGGCCTTTTTGTCTCTGTTCAATGGGAAGAACTAGTGACCACCTTTTAAAAGTGTCAAGTAACAGAATAAGAAGTTTAATATTCTGACAAGCTTATTACTCTTATTACCAGAGGTCTATAAAGTACTTGAAAAAATAACTAAGTAGAAGTAAAAGTACCTTAACAGAAAATAACTTTGGTAAAAATAAATATCACTGATGAGAAAACTAGTTAAGTAAAAGTCATAAAACTGTTCACAAAAATTGGGAAAGTATAAGTAAAAGTACTTTTCCATGCTCTCTAACAAATAAACTGTTAAATTTACAGAACCAAACTAGCTCCACAAAACCAATTTGATTAAATTAGTCAATTTTTACAAAATAAAACATGTATATCACCTCAAATTTACTCCACAAGGTTTAGTGGAAATGTTTGATATGATTTAGTTGAGTAAATTCAACTCTTGTTTTTTTTTAAAGCACATAAATAACTCCTTTCATGAGTTCAGACAGATTTAATTTATAACAAATAACTAGGTGTTAAACGTTAAAGTTAAGAAGTAAAAGTATCATTTTTAGGTTTTAAAAGTAACTAAGTAATAGTAAAAGTCACAATTTAAAAAAAACACTTGGTAAAATTACAAATCCTCAAAAAAATGACTTAAGTACTGTAACAAAGTAAATGTACTTAGTTACTATAAACCTCTGCATATTACTCTGTCTTTGCAGAACAACAGTGGAACAAAATGATTCACAGTCAGCTGGTGTTATGACTAAAACAACCACCTTCTGAATGTGGGCTCTGATCTATTGTTCAAACTCCACATCTTCTTCTAAAAAGCTTCTCTCTCTCTCTCTCTCTCTCTCTCTCTCTCTCTCTCTCTCTCTCTCTCTCTCTCTCTCTCTCTCTCTCTCTCTCTCTCTCTCTCTCTCTCTCTCTCTCTCTTTCTTTTGTATTCTGTCACCCCTTCTTTCCGCCCTGCAGCCACGCGTCCACCCGGCGGTTGTCACGCTGACGAGTTTCAGTGTCGGATGGACGGCCTCTGCATCCCCTCGCGTTGGCGCTGCGACGGCGACACGGACTGCATGGACATGAGCGACGAGAAGAGCTGCGAGGGCGTCACGCACATGTGTGATCCAGCTGTCAAGTTCGGCTGCAGGGACTCTGGTGAGGGGACAGCTCGGTGCAAAAGTTATAAACTACCTTTAATTTAATTAGATGGGGTTTTYTTCGGACTTGGGGTTTTGGGTCTAGTTCTTGTACATTAAGCAAATGAAAAATATCTGAACGTCTTTGAGAAAGCAGGAAAAAAAAGAAACTACCCAACAAAGTAGAGATGCATCATTCTTCAGTCTACTGCAGTGGTTCCCAAAGTTGGGACTGGAACACCGCTGTGAGTCCTGAAACATCAGTGTGTGGTCTTGAAAGGATTTTCAAAATGAATTATATTTAAAAAACAACGTCATTATTACCTTTATTACAAACATTTGAGGTTAGTTGTGCTAAATGAAATTAGCCTTGTTTATTTAATTTCATACCAATATTTAACACCCAAAAATAGTCAGGGACACAGGTCTTCTACTGTTATTTTGTGGCTCAAAAGCTGAAGAGTTTGGGCACTATCGGTCTACTGAATGACATTTCATCTAATATCTTTTTAAAAAACACATTGATGGTGCAAATGTACTATTTTATGAGTGAAACTGTGTTCACTTTGGCGTTTTTCATAGGTTCGACTAAGGAAACGGGAACACGTTGTGTAACTGTGACAAACTGCTAATGAAGAGCAGCTCATGCTCCAAATGCAAATTGGTTCTTTGTAAAGTTGTTTGTTTGTGAACAAAACTTTAGTTCATCCTTTGAGTTCAGGAGCCTTTTTATTTGTGAGTAAAGTGGCTTAACAGGCCACAAATATACATAAATATATTTAGTAGTAATATTGCATGTACATCCATTAATAATACTTGGATAGCACAAGAACATGAGAACACTTGTTTCCATTGTGGTCCAGTACAAAAAAAAACACAATATAAAACACAATATAAAACATGTAACAAATAACATAGTACAAAAAATAAATATAAAAAATTAAAAAACAATTTGGTGTAACATACAATCTAATGGGAGATGAATAAGGGACTGTAAATAAAGTTTGGACTCTTGTTATAAGGGACACGATAAAAGGATTCAGCTCTTTATCTCTGAGACCACTGAGTAGAGAACGTTCAACATTAGGTTTAAAAGTGTTTTTACAATGAATTCATTGTACAGTACATGCCTCAGGAGATTGTTCCATGCTCTGGCTCTATTGTAACCAAAAGAGGACTGTCACAATGATTTTTCAGAAGGAATACCTAAAGACAATGGTCCGGACCAGGTATTGTGGTGGGTTGTGTTTATCCTAACAGAGGCAGTGAGATATGAGGGGGCTTGACCAAATCACCCGCTTCGGATGTTATCATCCATTAAATGGACGTTATTAGCCATTATCAATCCCATAAAATGGCTTCAGACTGTCCCGACTGTGCCACCTAGTGGGTTCTCCGTCCCATAGAATGGCTTCAGACTGTCAGCTGGTTAATATGAGGCATAAAACCACTAAGGTTAATTTTAGAGAAAATGACCTGGGCTACGATAAAGTAGACCGGACTCCGGCGGTAAAAGATTGTTGCATTCCAACATATATAGCACTGGTAGCCCACTAGGGGGCACTGTCGGGACAGTCTGAAGCCATTCTATGGGACTGATAACCGCTAATAACGTCCATTTAATGGACTGATAACATTCGAATTGGCTGGCCAAAGAGCATATTGCGTAAGTGATGAGTTTTCAAGCATTGGGCCCTGCTGGGCCCTATATGGTCACACTCTCAGGTGTGACATTTAGAAGATACCGAAGTAGTTTATTCTGACATTTGCAGACGATTTTTATGTTTCTTGGATCGAGACCACTTTCAAAAGTTTCTACAAAAGTCTGACTAATAAGTGATGACTCAAGACTTTTGCACAGTTCTTTTGGTTCAGTAAACACATTTGCATGAGGCAGAACGTTTCTAAGTCCCCCGGCCTTCTGTCTGCAGCTCGGTGCATCAGTAAAGCCTGGGTTTGTGATGGAGACAGTGACTGTGAGGACAACTCAGATGAGGACAACTGCGACGCTCTGGTGTGTAAACTCTCCCATCACGTGTGCGCTAGCAACTCCACCATCTGCCTGCCGGCGGAGAAACTCTGCGACGGCACCGACGACTGCCCAGATGGCTCCGACGAGAAACTCTGCGGTAAGACACGGCGACGCTCGGGCTGCGCTTCAGAGAGCTGCCAGCACCAGCTCCGCATCTGAACTCCTCCAACCCGGGCCTGGTGCTCTCTGTTTCACAGATCTGTGCTCTCTGAACAATGGCGATTGCAGCCATAACTGCACGGTAGCTCCCGGCGAGGGCATCATCTGCACCTGTCCGCTGGGCATGGAGCTGGGGTCGGACAACAAGACCTGTCAGATCCAGAGCTTCTGCGCCAAACATCTGAAGTGCAGCCAGCGCTGCGAGGAGGACAAGTTCAGCGTGAAATGCTCTTGTTTTGAGGGCTGGGARCTGGAGCCCGACATGGAAAGCTGCAAAAGCCTGGGTAAGAGGCCAWGCTGACGCGGTGACGGCAAAGGTGGAGGATTTGGTCAGTAATAGTTAATGGTTTTCATTAAACTAAAGGAGCTTGAAAAAAAATCTGATTCTCCACAGTAGAGGAAGTCAAAAAGAAGAGAAAACTGGAACAGATTTGTAATAAAAACACATAGCTGAGCAATAAAAAAGAAAAGAGTAAGAGGTTATCTGCTTTTAATAGACATTTATGACAGGCGAGAAAACATAAGACTAGAGCTGTGATTTCCTGCTGCTAATATTTCTTTCATGAAACAAATATTAAACATAAGAGAACCACAAGAACCGCAGCAATTTGTTTTCATTAAARTCCCCGAAAAGGCAAGCTGTGAGAAGCAGAAAAACCACTCGGTCGCCCTTTGAATTTTATCATGCACACAAAGACTTTACAGTAGTTATCACCCTGCAGCAACTAGCCAAGAAAGAGCCATGAATTTCTGCTGCTGTTCGTCGCTGCTGGAGTCTTTGAGCCAGCAGCTCCCTGTCATTCATCCTGCTGCCTGTCTGGCTGCCTGTTAGCTACAGATAACTCTTGTCTAATTTACTTGGCTTTTTCATTACACAGGATTAGAGACACTTTCAACACGACCCCCTCCCCTTTTATGGGAAAAGTCACCCACTGCARCCATGTTTTATATTCTGAAAGGCAGAGCTGTTCACGTGTTCTGACTGAATTTATTTAACCAAGATTTTATTTATTTAATTATTTATTTTTGTGTAGCGTCCTGGAAACAGCAGCATATTAGTGCTAAAACTCACATTTATACGCTTATTATAAACATATTATAATGATTAAACCAAAGTATAACAAGAGCAGAAATGACAGAAAATAAAAGCAATTTGATTATTTATATTTTATTGGGTTTGCAGGGAAAAACGGGAACAAACGAGTCATCAWTTTTGCCTCGGCTTTAGTCAAAACTTTCAGCAGCTTTCAGGCAGAAAAATCAAACAGTTTCAGTTTTAGAAATAGAATAAAGCCACAAATACTTTGTACGGTTTGAGAGGGAAAGTCTGTAAGGAAGCTGGAGTTGAACCAGGACTAGCTTTGTAAAAAAGTAAAGTTTTTATATGRATAATAATTAGCAGTGATTTAATATTTTACAACTTAACTCTGAGGTTGTTTTTCTTTTCTTTTTCCCCACAGATCCATTCAAACCCTTCATAATTTTCTCGAACCGTCATGAAATCCGTCGCATCGACCTGAACAAGGGAGAGTTCAGCGTGTTGGTGCCGGGCCTCAGAAACACCATTGCTATTGACTTCCATCTCAACCAGAGTTCCCTCTATTGGACAGATGTGGTGGAAGATAAGATCTACAGAGGGAAGCTGTCTGAGAATGGAGGTGAGGCTTTTATTATTGTATAATTCAAAGTGTGTTCTCTGCTTGGTTTACGGTTTGTCAGCCTCTGTCATTGGTAACATCTGCAGGCGGTTTGCATTCAGGATGAAAATGGAATCAGACTTGGCTTTATTTTGCCCTGTTTTTTGAGGGTTCTAAAATCATTACACAKTCTGCATGTTCATGAAGGCAAACACGCTAAATAGACTGTGGCTGCTATTTTCTCTCATATTACAGACACAATCCTCGCTGCACACTGTTAATAAATCAGCTTTGTGAGCATTATCCAGTTTGCACATCTGATGTTGTTCTACTATATTTTTAATCTTACCTTACAGCYAAACCTGAAACTTATTTTTCTGGGGCCTTTCAGACCCATTGATTTGGCCTGAGCACAATAACCTGTTGACTTTTACTGCCAGGAAGAAGAAGAGTTTTCAGATTTTTTAGGATTAGGGACACAATGGATTAGCACCCTCAATGAGGTCATGGCACAATATGATACAGGAATGTATTATGACTGTATTGGCCACTTTTTGTTCAATCTGGAACGCTTACCTGAAGGAAGCAGGGCCAAAGGCGGCTTCTCAACTTCGATGTCTTTTGTTTTACCGACTGCATTTATGCCTGATACTTGTTTGGATTTTGTTTTGGTAATGTTCTCAGGTTTAGTCTGAGCTACTGTGTGTTTTTAGTTAAGAAAATTTTAATAAAAAAACAAACAAAAAACAAGTTTGCGCTTCTTTTACAGGCACAGTGCAATAATAAAAGTGTTTTGTAATGGACTCCTGTTTCAGGTTGTCACTTTTTAGTTAATTTCTTTTACGTTTGTTTAAAATTAAATCAAGGCTTCGTTTGAGTAATGATGAAAACACAGATGGCTGATTATTTATTTATTACTTGGTGAAAACTCTTTAATAAAAATATGGCTTAAATATGAGTTTGCATTTTTATTTCAAATGATTTTGAGGTAAAAATGTAGAACTCTCCGGCTTTATATARCCTTTATTTTAACAGGTAATTTAGTAGGGGTGGGAATCTTTTACTATCTCACGAAACGATTGGATTCAGATTTCTGGGGTCACAATTYGATTCAAAATCGATTATTTTTTCATTCAAAACTCAATGTGAGCCCATTTGTCGTGTTTCTAAAGTGCCTCATCTTCATTTTGCAAACTTTGCACACAGTGAAGCTCATGTTAAACTCAGACTCATTCAGTAAAAAACAAAATGAGCCCAAATAGTTTTGTTRTTTCTTTGTTTTTGGTGCTTTCTRCACATGCATACATTCCAGAACCGGCTGCATGTGACGTCAGGACATCCCAAGTGGTTACACAGTGGAGTTTGACAACCTTTATTTAAAAAATCGATTTTGGGACATTTTTAAATCGATTCTGAATCTTTGTAAATGTGAATCCCGATTCCGATTTAAAATGATTTTTTTTGGTGCACCCCTATAATTTAGCCTTTAGCTGTAACAGGACAATTAGCAGAAGACCTTGATAAAGGTCACAGCACTCGATCAGGTCCTGCAGCTCTGTCAAACAGAACCTCCTCCCTGCTGAAGCAGAAACACTGATGCAGCTTTGTGTACCAGCCTGTCCAAAGGTTGTAGTGCTTCTCTGTTCATTTTGTTCCCGGCTGCCATGTTTTTATGTCTGTAGGCTGTAAACAAGTCAGCGTGTTCACATTGTTCCAAACACAATAATGAATGACTCATCCCAAACAAATTACCCATCACTCTCATTAGGGAGCCGGTTGTAAATTAAAGGGTTTGAACGAGCCGGAGAAACGCGTTTCTTTAGTCCCGACAACCACACATTTAGTTTGGTTTGTAATTGCAGCATCAYGTCCGCCTCTTCTCTTATTGTTCTCAGCGTTTTTCTCCTCAACTAAACAGTCCATTAAAGGACAATTTACGACGCGAGGATTTGATTACAAATAGGCCCCAGTTTGATCATTTCTGAATCATAAAGCTCGGCAGCAGATCAGRGCTTCGGGCTGCAGTACAATCTGAGCAGGCATCATCAGCAAACCGCAGCCTTTAATCATGCAAATTTAAACAGAGTGCAGGTTCAACAAGAGACCTCAGCACCCCTGATAGCTTTGTTTGGTTGATTAGGGTAATATTACAAGATTAAATTAGACTTTAAACACCTTTGTTTTAAGGTTTGACTGGTTCTTCTTTTCCTTTCCACCATATTAAATAAACATTCAGTACTGATGATGAGGAGCCTGGTCTGGTTTCATCTTTAACATCATGTTTTACCAGTTCTGTCTCTTTTTCTCTTTCATCTGTAGCTTTAACCAGTTTTGATGTAGTAATCCAGTACGGACTGGCTACTCCTGAGGGTCTGGCAGTGGACTGGATAGCAGGAAATATTTACTGGGTGGAAAGCAACCTGGATCAGATCGAGGTGGCCAAGTTGGAYGGCACCATGAGGACCACGCTGCTGGCAGGGGACGTGGAGCACCCTCGAGCCATCGCTCTTGACCCCCGAGACGGGTAAAGGCTGTACCGCTTGTTTCCTGCACAGCTAGTTTGCAAACATGTCGCCATGCAAAAATAAAGTGCCACACAGTTATTGTGGGGGGAAAATATCTTTTAATCTGGCGTGCTTCTTGTGGCATGGCCCTTGCAGGATCCTCTTCTGGACAGATTGGGACGCCACTTTGCCGAGGATTGAAGCTGCATCCATGAGTGGTGAAGGCAGAAAGACTATTCATAAGGAAACTGGCAATGGAGGCTGGCCAAATGGACTCACTGTGGATTATCTGGAGCGGCGCATCCTCTGGATTGACGCCAGGTCTAATAAAAGAAACAAAAAAAAAATCATCCGTTTGTTGTCTTTTAGATTTTATCAAAGAAAGTTAACTCAAACTTTTTCATCCCACAGATCTGATGCAATTTATTCTGCTAAGTATGACGGTTCTGGACTGATCGAGGTCCTGAGRGGCCATGAGTACCTCTCCCACCCATTTGCCGTCACCGTGTAYGGTGGAGAGGTTTACTGGACGGACTGGAGGACCAACACGCTGGCTAAAGCCAACAAGTGGACCGGAAGCAACGTCACCGTGGTCCAGAGAACCAACACACAACCTTTTGACCTGCAGGTCTACCACCCGTCCAGACAGCCACAGGGTAGGAATTCACACACACTCATGTCAACAAATACAACAAAGACAACAATTCATATGTTGACTGTATGTACTTATTATGAGTTGTTCTCTCCTTCTTTGCTTCTCTGTAGCTCCGAACCCATGTGCAGCTAAAGATGGCAAAGAGCCCTGCTCTCACCTCTGCCTCATCAACTACAACCAGACGTTCTCATGCGCATGCCCTCACCTCATGAAGCTGAGCACTGACAAGCGGACTTGTGTCGGTGAGTCTGAGCTCACAGACATGAATGTGTTTACAGTGGAAACAGGCTGTCAGCTGTTTGTTTGGATTCGCAAACAGTTTTCTTTGAGCAAAACTGTAGAATAGCTTAGTGTAATCTCTGCTCTTGTAGAGTTTTATTATTATATCTTACTGGTACGTGTTAGATTTTTTTCTTCCTATCTTAAAGCAATAATTTAGATCTTTTGAATTAAGGTTCTGTGGAAGAGTTATGCATAATCAACACTTACCTGTTTTAGATTTCATATTTCTGACCAACTCATTGAGTTGGAACTAATTCAAATGGGGCTAAGACCAAAGTATATTGCTGCTAATGGTGTAACGCAAAATTACTCACATGGAAAAATTAATCTGGCCCAGTTCTGGCCCACACTAGGCACTAACACTTGGCCCAGATACTGTAAAGAATGACAGCACTTTGGTGGTCCATGCATGGGCCAGCACCACATAAACCAAACCCTAATGGGACCAACTGGGGCATGCCATCCTAAAACCAATGCCATCATTGCCAGACCTGGCCCACATCCAGTTGACAAACCACTTACATTGCCAGCAGTGCCAGCTTGACACCAGATCTGGCCCACACCTTTCTGCTATGCAAATGCCTAAAAACTATTGTTCACATGAAACGCTGCAAAGTTCTAACTATTGGATGGTATTTAAGCTCAGATTAACCTAAATAGATTATTTCTCTCCAAACTGAGTTCAATCAAAATGTGTCTGCAGCAGGTAAGATGTTAACTATGCATATCCGTTATACAGAACTAAAGGATCTGAATTGTTTTTAAGGGTTTTTAATGAAAACGCTCACTATACTGTATGAAGGTCTTCCCATATAAAACAACAGGAGGCCTTTTTACTCTGTGTTAGTTTAATATTCTGTGCAGCAGTCTCTTATCTTTGGGCAATGAAACGGAGGCCCTATTGTCATTAATACCAGTGAAGACCCCCACTCCTCCCATCCACCACACAGTCAGCCTGAGTATCATTATTCTTTCATCTCCATTTGTCTTTCCACATCTTCCTGTCGGTCATGTTAGCTGCGCACAGTTAAACAATCATTGAGCGTTAGTGCCATCGCAGTTGTTTTGTATCTTCACTGATTAAATTCACTCTCACCGTCATGTCTGAGCTACTGAGTCACTCAGCCGCATGAAATAACCTGCACCAAAGATGCATATGGATTTACTGTTTGTTCAAGTGGCAACAATATCAACCAGTCGTTTATCATTGTTGCAACAATCAGTCTACAAGTTATTGATTTTTCTCATGGATTGTGTTTGTTTTTCTTTGACTCGTCTTTTCCTTTGTTTACCTCTCCATTATTCACTTCAACGTCTGATGGATGCCACATCTCCTCTCCCCCCGCAGAGTCCCGGCAGTTTCTGCTGTACGCTCGACAAATAGAGATCCGAGGAGTGGACATTGACAACCCGTACTACAACTACATCATCTCTTTCAACGTGCCGGACATCGACAACGTGACGGTGGTCGACTACGATGCTCTGGAGCACCGCATCTACTGGTCAGATGTACGAACCCAGACCATCAAGAGGGCTTTCATCAACGGTACTGGGGTCGAGACTGTGGTCTCTGCTGGTAAGGAGGCAGTGAAATACAAGACAGAAAGTTTAAAAATAATTATTTTTGACTGTAGAATTAAATAATCAGTGATTCATTTTGCTGATGTTTCTTCAGATCTACCCAACACACACGGCCTGGCGGTGGACTGGGTGTCCAGGAACCTCTTCTGGACTAGTTATGATGCCAATAAAAAGCAGATTAATGTTGCCAGACTGGATGGCTCCTTCAAGAATGCTGTTATCCAGGGCTTGGACAAACCACACTGTTTGGTGCTGCATCCAATGCTGGGGTCAGTCCTGCACACACAGATATAAAAATATAAATACACACATATAAAGATGCCACACATTAAACACATGCAAAGTCATGGCTCTCCTCTGTCGCTGCTCTTTTATTTTGAAAGTTTCTTCATTTACATACGCCACAGCCAGAGATTTTTTTTGTTTGGTTTTTTTTTTGTCCTCTTTTCTGCCTTCCTCTCCGTATTTATCTTATATCCTGTCCCCTTCTGGTAACATCCGTTTTTTCCCCTCCTCTCTTGAACCCCACCGGGCCTCAGTCTCCCCCCTCAGCCAAACAGACAGATCACAGACAGGCCAGCTATATTTACACATTTATTTTTGTTCCGTAGGAATGTCAGTGCTCACGAGCACTTCAGGTCCGCGAAGAAATTTGTGTTTTTGTTTACACCTTCATCTCTTTAAAGGACTTAGCCCAGTTAGGCCGAGGAATGTTTCCCATCCGAGCGCTGTAGGCGTGAGCGAAAATGAGAAGCAGATGGTAGACATGCGTCAGGTCTGTCTGCTTCTTCTGCCACACAAACACACTTGACCCCAAATAGAGTGGGCGGGGTCATAAAAAATGGGGCGGGATACTCTCTGAGTGTGTTTGCACAAAAAGGCAACCGTGGGAGTTTAAATGGCTCTATGTTCTTATTTTAAAGACCTGYTAACAAGTATATTGAAGGGTGTGGTGGATGTGGTTGGATTGAACAGGAAGTGAACCATCATGCAGGAGATACCTTTTAAACAAACACTTCATGCTGTCTGAAAACAGTGGTGCTCACTGTCAGACTGCGGGAGAACTAAAGGGCAAATGTTACAACAATGAATGAACAAAACTAAGATGAGGCAAACTTCAAGGAATAGTTCTGTGGGAAGGTAATGAAGAACGAATATCTTACCTGTTGTACATAGCGGTTTGAATGGCTTCAGTTTGGACCAGTGATTAGTCTGACGCCTAAGTGGACAACTGCTTTTTTAATACAAAACTGCTTGTTTATGAGAATACTCTTTTATAACGTTAAACTTTACCTTTAACTACAAACAGCAACAAGTTTATTTCTGGTGCAGCCTGGAGCACTTCCAACAGGAACATTTCTGCCGGAATGTTTTTGCAATGCTAAACTGACATCAATGTAAAGATTTATAAAATAAGTTTTTACAGTAACTGGTGTGAACTGTTTGAGATTAGTTGTTTGAAGACTGCAACAATCAACATTGGTCTAGTCCCCGTTCTGACTAGTCATTAGCTCATAAATCTGGTCAAAGATGAACTTTATTGTTCCAAGATGAAGCTAATCAAAGGGTTACCATTTATTTTTTCATAACTTTTACACTGAATATCTTAAATATCACTTTAACATTTTTTTTTAAATCTCCATGGATAAACAGGACTGATCTGTACCAGGGATGGGCAGCTTAAATGATGGAAGGGGCCACATTTATTAAACATGCAGTAACCTGCAAACCTAAAAACCTGCAGCAACCTGAAACATTTCATGCTCAAATGCATGTACAATAGTTGTACTGTTGCTTACTAAATATAAATACAAAAAGTTAGAAGCAAACAAAAAAAACATACTTTAGGAAGCTGAGCTGCAACGGCACAATACAAACTGAGTGCAGACTCCTGCTGGTTCTGGTAAAAAGTAGCTATTCTTTATGTATTTGCGTCTTCAGTAAACTTCTCATATTTAGCTTTGTACAACATGTTGTTGTGGAGGCATATTAAAATCCTTCATGGCAGACAGCGTCTATAGCAGATTAAACACAGCCTTGAAATTCTGTGAGCAGATAGTCTACCTCCCCCTCTTACAGAAGTCCCGACCGGCCCGCGGGCCACCAGTTGCCTATCCCTGATCTGCACTGATTTCTATTCCAAAGATGTGCAATATTCCAAGGTTAGTCCTAACACAGAATAAGGAATATTTAAGCTGAAGATGTTGTGTTCTGCTGTAGTTTTAGGATTTAAAAAAAGCGGAATCATGAACTGGATTAAGTCCATTTTAACTCAAAGTTCAGAAGAGCAGAATATTTGTTTTTCGTCTTGCAGTTCATTTATGTTTTAGTAAAAAGACAAAGATTTTACCAAACATTATGAAATGTTTTCTATAAATTAAGCCTTGATTGTTTAAAGTTTAATCAACAATGAAGACTAAAGAACAGAACGTTAACTTTCTTTTGCTAATTTCCACTGGTCCTTTGTTTGTGCCTCCATCAGGAAGCTGTACTGGACAGATGGGGACAACATCAGCATCGCCAACACTGAYGGCACCAACATCAGCCTCCTCTTCACCAACCAGAAAGGCCCTGTTGGTGAGCCTCTCCAGCTGTGCCTGTGTATAAGAGGCAGCACCTCCCAGTGACGAGGCAGGAGATCACACATCTGTGGGGTTTTCTGTGTTTCGCAGGTCTCTCCATCGACTTCGACGCTGAGCAGCTGTACTGGATCAGCTCAGGGAACGGCACCATTAACCGCTGTAAACTGGATGGTTCTGAGCTGGAGGTGCTTGAAGGAGCCAAGGGCAAGCTGATAAAGGCAACAGCTCTCGCCATCATGGGTACGATCTGGGAAAATATTTGACGTTATGATTAAAGATCGATTTCCAGGAAGATGTTGAGTAAAAAGTTATTTTAGTTTAATAGTGTGTAAAAACTTGACCAACCTTACATTTTTGTTGTCTTTTTTTCTACATGTTGATAATAAAAATCCATCTTCTGTATGTTTAGGCGATAAGCTGTGGTGGGCTGACCAAGGTACTGACCAGATCGGAACCTGTGACAAAAAAGATGGTGGCAACTGGAAAATCCTGAGAAACAGCACATCCCCCATGATGCACATGAAGATCTACAATGAAACTGTGCAGAATGGTGCAGTTCTTTTTATTTATTTTTTTACAATTTATGCAACATTTGTTTCATGTTAAACTGCTCTGGGTGAAAAAGAAAAATGAGAAAAAAAATCCATTTTTTGATTCCTTGAAGGTCTGATTTGAAGGCTGCGTGAAGAATGTTTATGTAAAGCACGTCTGTTTATGCCCGCATTACTCATCTTTGATTTGTTTTTGCGTATTTGTCCTTGTGCGTTTGTGTTCCCAGGCACCAATCTGTGCAGCAAAAACAACGGAGACTGTTCCCAGCTGTGTCTCCCCACCTCCCGGACCACCAGAGCGTGCATGTGCACTGCAGGGTACAGCTTACGAACAGGGCAGCAGTCTTGTGAAGGTACAATGTAACCACATAAAAACAAAACCCCAAAAAATAAAAAATAAATTTAAAAAAAGAAAGCTGGTGCAATTTTTAAAGAAAGTGCTGCAAGTAAATAAAGAGCCCATGTTATTTGTTTGCTTAAGGTGTCAGCTCCTTCCTGCTATATTCGGTGCATGAGGGCATTCGTGGTATTCCATTGGATCCTTCAGACATGTCCGATGCCCTGGTACCGGTCTCCGGCACCTCCCTGGCTGTAGGCATTGATTTTCATGCTGGTAAGGCTTTGGATGATGGTTTCCCTCAATTTTCAGAAAAAAACCCCAAAGATTTCCAAGTTTGGTGTTTTTTAAATTATGGAACCACCATTTTATTTTATTTTTAATTCACAGACAATGATACAATCTACTGGGTGGATATGGGCCTCAGTACCATCAGCAGGGCCAAGAGAGACCAGACCTGGAAAGAAGATGTGGTTACAAATGGCATTGGAAGAGTTGAAGGCATTGCTGTTGATTGGATAGCAGGTAGGAGGCACCAGAAATGTGTACAACACACAATGGACTAAAAACAATTAGAAAAAAAAATCAATGAATTAAAACACTAAAGGTGAAAATTAAAGGGGTGTGGGGGTATTGTCCAAAATCAACTTTTTGAGCTTTATATCWTATCATGTTATAATGTTATTCTCTCATCAAAAACATACACAGAGTGTTGCTTTGACTCATTGATGCATGTTGTGGTAGCCATGTGGAGCAACTGAGACGGCTGGAAGAGGGGATTGAACAGGCAACCTACCGGTTACAGGACGACTCCCCTAACCACTCCGCCACAGCCGCCCCTAAAAGCACCACCTACTTCCACACAGTGGTGGACGAAGTACTCAACTCTAGTACTTGAGTAAAAGTATTGATACTCATGGTCAAATCTACTCCACTACAAGTAAAAGTTACTCAGTCAAAAATCTACTCAAGTAAAAGTACTGAAGTACTTACTTTTGAAAATACTTAAGTATTCAGAAGTACATGCATTTTAAA